GAGGTAGATGGGTATACCAAAGAGAAGGGAAAGGAATATGAAGTAGTAGTTGACAGAGCGCTCGGCAGGGTCCTCTCCATAGTGTTTTATCTGATAGCTACTGTGGGGACATTAAAGTCCATTCTTATCAGAAAACATAGTAGAAGTAGTTTGAGTATCGGATGGCTTTTAAGCTGTGGTGGTTAATTTCTACATTGTGATGCTCTCAGTGGAACTGTACACTTGATTGGCAGCATGTGACCTTGAAGCAGTCATTTAACCTTCCTGAAATACTATTTCATTATTCCTTATAATTATGTATTTACGAAGTGTATGAAGTGAAGTTCTAGTGCAGCAACTAGCTTTTTAATCAGCAGGTTACTTGTAGTGGTTGAAAGTTAGATGAATGGTTAAGTAGTTTTATAAATGACGTTAGGAAGGAGTAACGAAGAGATGGAACGTATACTAGACTCTCTTTTGAGGTGAGCTCAAATAAGTCTGCAGACAGGAAGGGGCAAAAACCCAACAAGTTTTGAATAAGTTGATTCCCGACAATTTCTGCCTTATAAAAGAAACTGCATAAAGCGAACCATATATGGCTTTAAACATAATTGGTATAAAAATGCCAATTTTTTTCTTCATAGAATAGATGGACAAAATTCAAATTATATGTGAAAAACATAATGAGATCTTGGGTGATTACATCTCCCTAAGGACTTTTTTCTGCATTTTACCGTTTAAGACGGATGGAAAGAATCAGATGAAATGCGCAGTAAGGGCAGTAACTGCCACCCCTGTGCCTCTCACAGCGCCGAGTGGGCGCCCAGTCGGTCCTTACTGCTTCGTGGATTCTCTAAAGGTCTTTTCATCTTATTTTGCCCCTGTTCCAACCACACATGTTGCCAATAAATAGAATTTTAAAATAAAAATTACCCTTAGGTTTCTGAATTTTGCTTGTTTAATTTTCACTAGACGCTGCTTTTAAGGTTATTTCACTCTGGCATGAGTGATCTGTGGTGGTAGTGGGTGATTGCAGGAATACTGCCCCCTGCCTTCAAGAAATAGTAGTAAGATCAAATATTTTTTACTGTTTTATACCTTTGGTTTTATCTTCAGATTATATCTCATTTTTGTCAGATTTTGGTGTTTTGGGTTTACATTGCTAAGATTTTATGACAAATTTAAAGGATACCTCTGTAAAAGTGAAATTATAATTTCCTCTAACATTCTAATTATTAACTATTCACTATCTTAAAGTTATTTTTATGATAACCCTTCCTCTTTGTGTGTGTGTGTGTGTGTGTGTGTGTGTGTGTGTGTGTGTGTGTGTGTGACTTGCTGTTACCTTTGAGAGCATTGCTTGTGCAGTCTAGCTCCATTCTGGCATTCCCCTTAGTCATTAAGAGCCAAGCCAGAGTTCTAGGTTTCTTAGCAAGCAAACAAAATGCAAATCTCCAGTGTTGATAGACTGTGTGAAGTAATAAGGAAATATTCTTCAGGGTTTAAAAATATGTATTTTCCCATATTTTTAAACCTATTTTCTTTGACTCCATGTGAAGAAACAAACTCTGATTTGATTAATAAGAAAATGATCCCTGCTGTTATAATCATAGAGCCCAAGATTTAGATCTTAGAACATTAGTTTTTATGGAGTTTTTTTCTTTTAATAAAAGGGGCCACCATTTGGCCTAAGGGGTCATAGTAGGCTAAATAGTGGACTAAATACAATAACTACATCCAGGTGATCCCTCATGTTCCTTTCCAGCTCAATAATCTCATTCACTAAAATATATTTAACTCATATCAGTCAAATTACTAAGTCTTCTCAATTTGGAAGAAAGAGCAATATGAAAAGGACATCTGATTTACAAAACTGTGGTCAAAGACCTGTTGTTTGGTTACCTTTCCTGACTTTGCTTTATCAGTGTTTTTCATGAACACATAGCACTTTGTTCTGCATTACATCATAGACTTACTCTATCTTTTCAGGGTACCTGTCCCTAGCGCCAGGTAGACTCATTATTCATACAAATCTAGGTTATATTTTTTCCTAGGAAAATTAATTACTTTATACTGGCTGCATATGGTTAGCTTGTCAGCAGGAAAGCTTTAACATATTTTGGGGCAGTATCATATAGCCATTTAAGCAGTCTTTTTTCTCTTTCTGCACAAAGAGTATACTAATATACAATATGTTAAAACTAATATTTTTTGTAATACTAATGGTTTTCATGGAATACTGGAGAATTCCTTCTCATGTTTATTGCAAAGTGCTAAATACCTAACTTCATAATCATGAATAAGGGCACAGACTGAAAAAGAGATTCCAGGGGCTCATTATAAACCTCTGGAAAGCTATAGTATGTGTACTCATGTGAGTGTTCTTTTATACATTTTGGTATTCTAAATGGTGTATTAAATGTAATAGAGTATTACATAGAATTGCTCCCATATCATGTGAGTATACAAGGTCTCTCTGGAAAAAGTCTAGCCATTGTTAATGGAACGAGAATGGTTTGTGCAAGATCCATGTAACCTTGAAGCCAAGGAGAGCGGACTGGAATGCACATGTGTGGACAATGATGACTTCGTTGTACTAGTCAGTGGGTGTGGTAGATGGCGTCGAATGAGCATGTGCGCTCTGTGCTGTCACATTCAAAATGACTGAGCGAGTAGAACAACGAATCTGCATGAAATTTTGCATTAAGCTTAAACATTCCTCTGCGGAAACTATTTGGATGATTGAGAAGGCTTTCAGGGATGATGTGATGAGTGCAGCGCAAATAAAAGTGTGGCACAAACGCTTCAAAGATGGTCAAGAATCTGTTGAAAGTGTTCCATGCTCTGGAAGGCCTTGCAGAACACCTGAGAATGTTGACTGTGGACAGGATGCAGTCACAAAGATTGGCGAATGACCGTGCAAGAACTAGAAGTTGATCTGGGGATTCCAAAATTTACTGTGACCAAGATTTTGATGCAGGATATTGGCATGAAACGTTGTGGCAAAATTCATTCCTTGACTTCTGCTACCAGAGCAGAAGCAATATCATGCTGCATTTGCCAGTGAACCAGCTTCCCTCAAGGAGGTCAGAACCAGAAATGAATCATGGATGGCTGCTTTGAAGGGGAGTGAGGCGTCATTGTTTTATGACATTGTACATTTTTTTTTTTTTGTATTTGTATCGTCTTTAATAAATGCCTGTATTTTTTGTAGTACATGCCTGGATACTTTCTGGACAGGTCTCGTATACCATTTGCAATGTTTAAATTAGTATAAAAATTTTAGGAAAGTGAGTCTATTTGGGAGAATTTTAAGACACATGAAATGACTTTATGAGAAGTAATCACTGTGTAAGTCTGCTTTGTGTACCAGACATTCAGTAGCCAAATGTTATTCTAATAGCACCTTGCTTTTTATTCCTAAAATTTTATGTTACTTAAATTTATTCTATAAAACGATTACTAGTTTTGTTTCTTTTTACTTGAAGAAATGTCTCTTTTGAGCTTACAGTTTTTTATTCTTTTCTAGGAGAAAAACATTATTTTCTCTAGACAGGAATTTGAAGACATTCCTTGAAGTCAAGGAATTTTAAGACATTTCTTAAAGTACTTTGTAGAGGGGACTTCTTATTAACTGTATTTGTCGAGCTCGTAGAATCTTGTCTGTATACACATAAACAAACATTTCACATGTCAAGTGCCTGGGGAGAGTACTGATGTAAATTAGATATTTATATTATTTGCTAAGAAACTTTTCAGTCATTGTAAGATTTTGGTCCATCTGAAGATATATGCTCAGAGGTATCTACTGGGAACTAACTCTCTGTTGCTCAGTTCTTTATAGATGAGTGTGCTGGGTTCTATTGTTACGTTGTTAAAATAATATCTGTATTACCCTGTTGGATCTAATAAGTTTTGGCTTCTGTATGGCATATTTTATTTTAAATAACAATCGTTTATTATTAGCAGATAGCTTCCCTTAACATGCATCCTGTGCCCCTCATGAGCATTGCTTTTTAGTCTTTCCTTTGGGTCTGTGACTGACAGAGTTGTTCCTGTTTTAACCCTGCCATGTCCTGTCGTTATTTTTTCCTGACCTTGCCTGAAACTGCTTTTGATGTTTATAATAGTTGTTGAAGTTCAAGAGTTATGCTATTACTATCCCATGATTATCCCAAGTCTCAAATTCCTAATACATTTGGTCAAGGAATTCATATATAGCTTAAATGCCCTGTGTCTCCAGCCTTCGGGTAAGTGGCTCTTCCCTTTACGTGTGTGGTTAGAACATGGGGAGCAAGTTTCAGACGAGAACTTGCTCACCCTCTAGCCCTACTGTGTATATTTTTGACACTTTCAACGCCCTACCTTCCCAATAGGGAAACCCCGCGTCCCAAACAGACCTGTGGCTTTGCACTGCTTCTGTCTCCTGTTCCGCCCATGCTCCCTAACTCCAACGCTGCCAATTTAGTGTATGTCAGGAGTCATTCTGCTTTCCTGCGCTGCAGAAGAAAGTCACTTAGGTACAAATTGGGACCTATTTACTCTCCTTCTATCTAACATGTATTGTTAGTCAGCAGTGCTTCTGAGGACAGCAATTGCTATTTGAAGAAAACAAACCCTCTTTCACCCCTTTCTGAATATGGTTTAAGCATAACCCAGCATGTTTCAGTTTTGAACAAAATTAATGATAGGAATTCTTTAATTTCTTGCCTCTGTATCCTGTTTTAAAAATTTAGTTGTAAAAATATGTACAGTACTTTATTGCTTAATTAAATTTTATCATTTAATTAAAGCTTTCATTTCATTAAGCATCTAAATTTTTAATTTTTTTTTTGAGGGATAACTCTGGATTCCACACAAAAACAACCAGGTTATTTCTCTCTTCCTGCTATCAGTTTTAGGGGACATATTGCTTCTTCAGTACTGTCATACCAATAAATCATCCCAGATTACTTGCAGGCTTACAGTACTAAAGTATACCATGCATTTTAAAGGAAATCTGCTATTTTCTTTTCAATCAGATGAGCAATGTGAAGAGACTGCGGCCACGGCTCAGTGCTATTCTCTTTAAGCTTCAGTTTGAAGAGCAGGTGAATAACATCAAACCTGACATCATGGCTGTCAGCACCGCCTGCGAAGAGATAAAGAAGAGCAAAAGCTTTAGCAAGTTGCTGGAACTTGTATTGCTAATGGGAAACTACATGAACGCCGGCTCCCGGAATGCTCAAACCTTTGGATTTAACCTTAGCTCGCTCTGTAAAGTGAGTTTGTGTTTTTGTTTTTTCTGTTTTGGTTTTGTATTTTTTGAAACACGTAGCTGCCTGCACACTTGCTTGTAGAATGCAATCCCTGAGTACGTTATTTATTTATTTTTATTTTGATGTGTTCATTATGAAGAACCTGAACTGAACCATGAACCCAAACCCAGAGTGAATTGAGCTAATTTTCTTAACCTCTGACCTAAATCCAAACATTAATTTTCTTTGATCTGAAAATCCAGCTGAAGGAATTTGCTTAATAACAAAATTATTCCATACACCTATGCTTTCTCAGACTGAGGAAATGGGACATCAAAATATTGTCATTCAATTTAGGTACCTGCATATATGATGGTATATATTGACAATTGCTTAGGATTGCCACTAAAATTTTTATCTTTAACTATTTAAATATTTCTTTGCATTTAATTTTTTCAAGCAGACTAAAGGGAGGGGAAAGTGAGATTGCTTTATATAAAGGGGAATTTATTATTATTATTATATAAAGGAATAAACATAACTCAGATTTTGAAATGTTTTTAAGTATAATTTTAGAGGATATGAAAATTGTGTAAGATTATAGGTTTTTGTTTCTGCTGGGTTCTTCCACAGGTTAACATTTTCTCCAGCAAATATATTCAATGTTTTATGTAAGAGAGCTCTTTTATAAATAATGGGTCGGAGTAATAGTGCTTTATTGATTTACTTATAACAAATTCTTCTCAGTTACACATCACAAGAAACAGCTTTCTCTTGTTCTTGACCTGGTAACATCTGCTCTCCCTGACTAAGGAATTTGATTATCGCTATTGCCAGTTAGGAAGGGAAGGTGAGAAACAAGTTCAGCTTTAGCTGTGGGTTTGCTGAATAGTTAATCTTTTGGTACTTTCATGACTTTTCTTAGTTCCACAACCAAAGCCTCCCATTGGTATCAAAACCTTGTGAGATTTCCCCTCTCCTGTCCCCATCTTTTTATTTTCCTTTCTTCTTTTCTTGTCCATCTATATTCTGTTAAGACCTCTAGCATGGGTGTTGTAATTCATAACATGTGAAGACTTGGCACTTTAGAGAGTGCTTACTTATTACTATTGTGCCAAATGCTTGACCTGATCATCTCATTTAATGTATGTGATTAATATTTACCTAGCATGTGTGAAACTTACACTATTCACACTTAAACCATTAATTGTGATTAAACGTTTTTATGGAGCTTATATATAAAAAGTTACAGCAGCAGAGTTAAGAGAGCTCTGCTCTGCTAAGGGAGGGCAGTTATGTATTCAGAAAGGAAGAGAAATTTGGGCTGGATATGGAAGAGTGAGTGGTTATTCCCTGAGAGGAAAAAGCATGCTAAGAAAGAATCTACAGTTTGTACAAAAGATATATCATGGTGTGTATGAGTCCACTGAGTGATCCAATACAGTTGGGGCCTAGATAGGAGAGGAGCGGAGAAAATGGAAATGAGATGGTAAATTGGTCTAGATCGCGAAAAGCCTCAAACGTCTCTCCTTTCAGTGAAGGTTTTATGGAGACATTATTTCTGTAAGACAAGTGATGTTATCAGATATCTTGGAGGAAGATAATTCTAATAGCAGTTTGGAAAAAAGTAACCTACACTGTCACCTTTAGCCAAATGCTCCTATTTAAGTTTAAATTAAAATGTAAACAATTAAAAATTCAGTTCCTCAGTCACACTTGCCATGTTTCAAGTGAATTAGTGCCCATACATGCTGGCCGCATAATTATAGCCATCACTGCAGAAAGTTCTGTGGACAGCACTGGTTAGAGGGCTACAGTGGGAGAGGCTGGGTCATTGGCTGACATGCAGCACGTGACCTAGGAGAGTGAGGCTTGGTGATTGGCTGACATGTAGCACGTGACCTAGGAGAGTGACAGAGGAATTGCAGCTGAGAAGATAGACAGGGAAGACAATGGAAGGTAAAGGAAAAAGGGGAAAGGTCAAAGATAACACTCTGCTACTGACATGTTTGAAGTGGTTGCTCAGAAATGAAGTTCTGGTGGTTTATGGTATTTTCTTCCCCTTGTTTACCTCAGTGTCTTAAAGAGCATCTGATTGATGTACCTTATTTAATTATAAAGCAAGTATTTGAGTGTCCACTACATAATAGTCATTTTGCTTTGAGATGTTGTTGGTCTAAGCTAAGGTAATAGCAGAGAAGTTTGAGGTAGAATGGGACAGGGGATGGAGGGACCTGTACACGTTTAAGGAACATGTGGGGAATTGTCGGGGTGGTGATTATGAGCTTGGAGACCAAAGGGCAAAGAGGGAAGCTTGACTGCCAGGATCGGGCTTTCCTTGAGAAAGGGAGCAAGGGAAGAAAAACAGTGCAGAGCAAGGTGGAAGAGAAGTTAAGTTCACACCTATAGATTTCCTGGTGTTTGTTTCCTGGTGCTAGGTGTCTGTTTCTCTTTAGATTTTGCATCTCAAAATTATGGCCAACTCACAAAGAGTTGACCACATGCCCTCCTTCATGCCTTTCTCAACAGAGAGCTGTTGAGGAGAGATTAGGTCAGATTAATGAGCCTCGCAGTGCTTGGTATATAGTAAGTAATCAATAAATAGCTGTTGAATGACAGTGCAGTAGAAACAACATTGTATCTCTTAGTTATCATGTAGTTGAAAATAGACATCCTCTCATATTGAGATACAGTCATTGATGCATAGTAATTTTAAAATCTTTTACAAGGGCAATGCATGCTGTTATTATTTTACTATAGTCAATCTGCAAACCGGCTAATCTGTCTCCAGATAATAAAGTTGACTGTATTTTCAGGCAATGAGACTGGATATTTTAATCATTCCTCTTAGGAGAGTTCTGTTGTGTAAGAAACAAAATAAATACTAGAGCTTCATATTTTTTTATTAGCCTATGCGTCAAGTTGAAAGCATATATTGAACAAGATGATATCTCATCATGTTTTCTTTTTTTATCATAAGTAGCAGTTTGATCTCTCACAATTGTGATTGAATTTTCACACTGAGTATAAAGCATTTGGTTTGATCATAAGTCTCCACACAAAGAATTTTAAATTTACTTGAAAGTAGAAATACAGAGTTATATTTTAACCTGTTAAAACATGCTAGGTAATCCTGTGACATTTAATATTCTATATCCCAAATTTTTACTTGTAAATATCCTTTGTACATTTACCTCAGTTATAAACCATACATGAAAATTCATATTAAATTTATTAATGTTGCACAGTTTAGAATAATTACATGAATTTTGAATTCCATATACATTATATTTTAGGAGCTGTATTATATATTTCTATCTATTTGTCATTGAGATGGCTAACTCGAATAACTGAGCTCAGAGAGAAAAAAGGGTTTGTCTAATTTCTTTTGTCCCAAAGATTTGATATAGCATATAATAAGTAAATATAAAAGTTAGGTATGAGATATAAGGTAAACATAAACTAGAATCTATTATTAAGATTTAGATAAAAATTAAAGTAGATGCATAGGTTTGAGGCTTTCTGGTGGTAAAAATGAAGTGCAAACACGGTTATGAAAATTTTCTTGAGCTAAAAATAGTGGTTTCTCTGATTAGCCAAAGCTGGACTTCGTAAGAAATTTTGCAAGTACAGTGTCATAAAGGAAAAATGGTGTGGAACTGTGTTTTTATAAATAATAAATGAAAAAAATCCATTACAACTATTTCCTTACCCTCTTTTCCCCTTTCTCTTCCCCTACAAATATGTATTCAGGACCCGTTAGGGATTGACATTCCAAAACAACCCTCATGTTAAGATATAAATATGGTCTGTAGTTACAGTAACACTAGTTGAAGTAAAATGGAATTAGTACCTTGCTTTCTAATAGTCTGGCTTTTCAAGGGGATTAACCTTACCGAGACCTGTAATTTAAGGCAATGGATGGACTACTTCATTCATAAAAGTCCTCCAAAGTTATAACTAGACTTTAGATAAAAACTTGATAATAGGTAGTTTGAGATTATATTCTATTTTTTAGGAGTTTTATTGATTAAATGGAAATCCTTAGAAACATCATCAGCAAATGGTAGGCTATTGCCTAACCAAAATGCCTACCGATGTTGCCAGTGGAAATGGGGTCCTTCCATGGAGTCAAAAGAAAAGCACTTCAATGATTTACAAGCGGGAGGATGAGGTATAGTGGTAAGATTTATTGGAGCAGAAATAAAAGGCTTCCCCCAGGTTCCTGGTGTCTCATCTCCATCCATCCCACCAAGAAGGAAGTCCAGCCTTGTCTTCATCAAGCCCAGAAGAAGGGTCAGAGTCCAGAAATTCAGTGCCATTGATTCAGTCCATGGCAAAGCTGAGTCCACTTCAGTCTCTGTCCCTATCTGGGTAGCTTAGCCACTGTTACTAGCTGCGCTCTGGTCCCCGATACGCTGCTGTACCCCTCCCTGTGTCTGGGCCTGCGTGGCTGCCCTGGCAAGACAGCTGACAGCCTGCACTTACAGCCCACGCTTGTCTCCCTATGGCTACTAGGCTGGCGTGGCTGCTCTGGAGAGAGAACACATGGAGGAACCAACGGGCAAATGAATGCGTTACTAAGCAAGAGACCTCGTTAAGTTTCGACTATGTATATTATCTCGGGCTTTCCAATGGACCAATCTCTTTCCCAATTCTTTGTGTGTTTGTGCTGGACCCTCCCCCTAACCAATCAATTTCCTAGGTCTTTGTGGGCTTGTATACTGGGTCTTCTCCCTAGCCTATCAATTCTTTTTCCCAGATTAAATACCTCCCCTTTATGGTCGCCATCTAGGCTTTTACTGCACATATGCCCAGCAGATGAGTTTTCCCTGCTGTTTTATCTCTCCCTGGGTAATCCTGGCTAATGACCAGTAACCAATTCTTCCTGCCCACTTCTGGGATTAGGTGTAGAGTGCGGAGGATGCAGCAGTCCCCTGGAGTGTATGAAGCTGTAGCGTCCTGCATAATTAAGCTTAGCCAGTTTTGCTTCCTTCTCCTTTATTAGTATCTAGCTACCTATACTAACACCTAGAAAAAAAATGTAAGTGCTTAGTATTGAAGTTTGTGCTCTGAAAAATCTGTTTGTAAGGCCAAGATCTTTTGGTCCCAAGTAGATCTAGCAAAAGAATGAGTTGCCCAACCATCAAAGTTCAACACCATATGAAAATATATGAGATGACTTTAACTTGTAAATATAAAATTGATTTTATCAATCCACAGGCAGTATCCATAGTGTGTGTTTAGTAATGTTCACCAGTGATCTCAATAACAAATCATCTCGGTGAATACAAATAAATGCTGGAGCTGTAAAATGTAACTCTTTGTTCTAGGTAATTAAACAAATTTCATATCTTAGGGTAGTAGATAAAAATTTTGGAAGACTTTACCAACTGTAATAACTAATTTTATCAGAATTTGTGCTGTTATTTTGGGGAAAATTGCAGAAACAAATAGCCATTGATTCTACTATAGATTTATCCACAGTATCACCCTACAGCAAACTTTCTATTCTCTGTGGCAATAGAACATGTGAGTTCATCTCAAAGAGTAGTCATCGAAGGATGCATAGAAACGGGGCTGTGGGTATCGGGAGTTAGGCGATAAAGATGGGGGGTTGTCATTGCAAGACTGATTTTTGTCTAAGTTCTCTTTTCTAGTGTATGAAAATTTTATCTCATCTTCTGTACTTTTTACAAGCACAGGACAAAATTGAATAACTTTACCAAAGTTGTGATGGGGAAGACGTTTTAGAAAAAAAAATTGAACTTTTTTTTTCTTTGATATCTCCACCCACTCCAGTGAGTGATTTCCTGAAATTGTTGCTCCTCTTGTAGGACATTGATTCTCAGACTGAAGTGGTATAAGAAATACTCATATGTCAGCCCCATATCAGATTACTTCAGCACGTATGGATGTGCATTTTGATTAGTGGCATTAAAAAAAAAGTCCCCGGTGATTTAATGCATTGATTGAACTGAGAATCACTTCATCTGTCTTCTGCCTTATTTCCTTTTCCCCGAATGGAAGATCCTTGACTGGTGGTCTGGAACCAACCAACAAACATTAAAAAAAGCAAAACCCAACCAACACAAAAACAAAACAAAAAAGAAGCAACTTTACTTCTTTACTGTAGGATGATGAGTGGTGAGAATATTTCCAAAAACCATTGCTTCCCTTTTCTTGCCAAACTGAACACTATTTTGAAATTAAAAAAAAAAAAAGAATGCAAGGAATATGAATGTGAGGCACACAGTAAAGCTGAAATAAGTTGATGGCCAGAATCCTGAGTTACTTTGCAGGGCTCTACCTTGTACAGGTAAAGTTTCAGGGATTATAAAAAGCAGGAGACAAATACATCTACTGTCATAGGCAGTTTGTATTTTGCCTGCCTGTCACAGGCACACAGGTTAAATTTTGATTCTTGTATTTCACCTTTTCCTTTACACTATGAAATTATTTTTAAGGAAGGCCTGTACCAAACCAATCCATTGTTCCATCTGCAGTCACTGCTATAGGAGAACTTCAGAGAAATTTTTATTCTTCATCAGATTGGCAAAATCACAGTAGTAAATTTGGCACCCATTGAAAGTGAAGCAGTTCCTGGCCAAAGACTTGCAGATAACAAATGCCATTCTTATTTTAAATCCAGCCAATTAAATCACTGAAATGTTGTCTTCCAAAGCAATGTGAAACTATTTAGATTCTTAACCCCTTTTGACTCAGTCATTAACACATTTAATGCATGGCATTTTCCAAGAAACATACAATTGGCTTTACTAACTCATGTTTTTAATGAATTCTATTCCCATTACCCCTGATTGGCTTTTCAATTGTAATTAAACATTGTAAATTAGAATTATTATTTTAATAGAATTATAATGGCCCCAATCAGCAAATACAGTACTTGTGTGTTGTATCTACCTGCTTTCATGACAAACTGCTAATCTGTCAAACTCCCTTTCTCCCACACACAGCCTCAGAATCCTCCTCAACACCTTGCTTCTCAACAGCTACTACAAATCAGAGGTTTCACCCAGGTCTTACCCAACATCCTGGTAAACAGAATGCTTTATTTTTGATACTCTAGGAAGCTTGTTATCTATCTCTTCTTTATCAAGAATCTACGTTGTTTCTAGATTTGGGGGATCAGAGACAAAACGTGCAACATTATTGTCTATAGATTCCAAGGTGTTTATGCACATTGATTTTAAAGTAGAAGGAAAGAGTACGGGGATGAAATAGGTATACACCCAAACTAGACAAAGACATTACCATACGGGAAAATTTTAGCGTAATAGCTCTCATAAATATAGGTGTAAAACTTGTCAACAAAATATTATAAATCAAAACCAACAATAAATTAAAAACTTTTATAACCTGGCCCTGGCTGCGTATCTCAGTTAGTAAGAGTCATCCTGATATGCCAAGGTTGTGGGTTCGATGCCAGTTAGGGCACATACAAGAATCAAATAATGAATGCATAAACAGGTGGAACAATGAATAGATGTTTCTCACTTTCTCCCTCTCTAAAATCAGTAATTTTTTTAAAGTATTATAATACATGACTAAATTGGATTTATTTCAGTTACAAATGGCTAGTTCAGCATTTGAAAATCCATTATCATCAACAGGCTAAAGAAGAAAATCATTTGATTATATCAAATATGCAAAAAAGTTATTTGATAAAGTTTTTTACCCATTAATGATATAAACTGTCAACAAACTTAAAGTAGTGGGTAAACTTCTGTAGTTGATGATAAAGAATATGTACATAAATTACAGCTAGCATTATATTTAACAGTAAAAAAACCAATGTTTTTCCCCTAAGATCAGGCACAAGGGAAGGAACCTTCCTCTTACCATTCCTAATCAACTTTGTACTGGAAATTCGAGCTAATGCAGTAAGGCTACAAAAGAAAATAAAAGGTATACAGACTTGGAAGAAATAAATAAAACTCTCTCTGTTCATAGTTGAAATAATTGCCCATGTTAAAAAAAAAATCCTTATCCCACACACAAAAATTAAATACAAAACCACTTTCTGCACTAAAGAGCAGTTATAGCAAAGTTTTAAGATCTGAGGTTGACATAAAGAGTCATTTGCTTTCCTAATACTAGCAATGAGCAAAAGAAAGACTATCTTAATGTTGGCACAAAAAAAGGAATACTTAGGTTTTAATCTAACCAAGTATGTACAAGATCTGTATGAGGAAAACTACAACATGGTAATGAAAGAAATCAAAGAGATTTATTAAAAAATATATATTCCATGATCATGGAAACAAATATTCAATATTCTTAAGATGCCAGTTATTTCTGATTTTATCTATAGATTCACTGTAATGCCAATTAAAATCCTAGTTGGTTATTTTGTGGATGTTGGTGAACTGATTGTAAAGTATATATGGATATGTAAAAACCCAAAATACAGCCAACATAGCAATGAAAAAAAAAAAATACAGAGGCAGAAGACTGACATTACTTGTCTTCAACATTCCCTAATAGAATTACAGTAATCAAAACATGTAGTATTTCAGGGGAGAAGACACAGATTAATGGAACATAATATAGAGCTCAGAAGTAGATTCGCACAGATGTCGTCAACTAATCCTGACAAAGGACCAAAGACAATTTAACGGAGAAAGAAGAGCCTCTTTTAAAGAAACGGTGCTAGAGAGACTGGACACATATATGCTAAAAAATATATCTAGAACCAGACTTTATACTGTTCTGAAAAATTAACTTAAAATAGGGCATAGATCTAAACATAAAATGCAAAACTAAACAATTGACAGAAAATAACATACGATTATATCTAGGTGATCTTGAATATTTAGTGAGGACTTTTTAAGTTACACATTAAAAGCATGATCCATGAAAGAAAAAATTGGTAAGTTAGACTTTATAAATTAAAAACTGGTCTGTGAAAGACACTATTAAGAGGATCAAAAGGCAAACCACACAATGAGAGAGAATTTTTGCAAAACAAAGATCTGATTAAGAGCTTATATCCATTATGTACAAAAACTCTTAAAACTGAACAATAAGAAAACGACTCAGTTGAAAAATGGTCGGCCACATTCTCCATAAGTTCTTCCGTGCTTGCTGCTCTTCTGCACCTGCTGCCCCGCCATGAGCTGTAGCGGGATTATGTGCGGTGGGTGCTCCGCCACCAAGCCCGCCACGGCTGAGACCCAGGCCATCGCCGACCAGGTGAAGTCCCAGCTGGAGGAGAAAGAAAACAAGAAGTACACCATGTTTAAGGCTGTGGAGTACCAGAGCCAGCTGGTCGCGGGGACTAACTACTTCATCAAGGTTCAAGTTGAAGATGATGACTTCATCCACATCCGAGTGTATGAAAGTCTCCCACACGAAAATAAGCCCTTGGCCTTGCACAGCTATCAGACCAACAAGACCAGTCACGACAAGCTGACCTATTTCTAGTTCTGGATTTTGAACTGAACCCATCATCCATGTGGTTCTTTGTCCTCTGACTATGTGTCTGTAGTCATAAATGATCGATGTCACTACACTGTGCCTCTTTTGCTGGAGGAGCTGTTCTGCATCAATCTGGTGTCTCTGTTTCTGACTTTAATAGTGTGATTTTCCTACCAATCAATGATCTTAACTAAATTGCTCTCAAAGAGGGCTTAGATTAGTTCTAAATATATATATTTTTGAGTCTTTGCAAAAAAAGAAAAAAAGAAAAATGGTCAAAAGATGGAGTAGATACCTCACCAAAGAAAATTGACAAATGTCAAATGAATGTATGAAAAGATGTTCAACATCATATTGCCAGAGTAGGCAGTTGGTGAGTTATAAAGAAAAGAGAAGGAAGCGAAATAAGTCTGATTCAGTTGGGAAACAGCAGTTTCACAGCTGTCCTTGGGAGTAACCAGCGTTGTTGCTGACAACGTCCTGCCTAGTCTTCTATGCAGGAAGGAAAGGAGCTAGGTCTCATGGAGTCATCAGGGTGAGCCCAGCAGAGTATCAGCCCCAGACAGACCAAGATTTGACTGTCTGAAGGGAAGGCTCTGCGCCTGTGGGGCATGTGAGGGAAGAGTGGCCGCACAGCTCCGTCTGCCCAGATTCTGTAGGGAGGAGTCCGAGCTTGGCGGGTGGGGCCACAGGGAGTCTGGACGATGAGGACAGCGTATATGTTGGGATGGGAAGGTGCTGGTCAGGGTTCCTGGACTGTGGTGACTGTGGTCCCCACCCCAGTGTCACAGAATTCAGTGACACTGTTGTCCCAGATTTTGCCCCATTTGGCAGGTGGAGCCTCTGGAGCTTGCAGTGTTTGCTTAAAGCTCGGAGGGCGGTTCTGTCAGATCTCCCATGAGGGAGAAGTGCCTGTCATGTTCCCAGGAAACACAGGGGATTGACCCCCACCACATCCATGCAGCACAGTAACTGCCACTTCCTGAGTCCACCCAGACCTCTACACTCTGGCCCAGGGAGCTGACTCCTTAGGGCGCAACCTCTGCAGGTTGGGGCAAGTAGGAGTCCAGTCTTTGGGGCTATAGTCTTCCTCCAAGCTGATGTCCCAAGGAAGGGAGTTCTCCACCCAAGAAGGACGGCATCTGTGGTGCAGAAGAATGATTCAGCACAGGGATCATGTTGGCTTTCCCTTCAGTCTCTCACCAGAGCCAGAAATCTTAGATTACACTCATGTGACTCTAGTTCACTCTTCTTTCTTTCCAATGGAGCCCAGGGTGAATGGCTATGAATGAAATTTTGTGTTGGCCCTCCTGAGGGATGCCCGTGTATCTAGTGGACTCCCATGTCTCCCTGGCCAAAGAAAGCCGGCTGCTTTTCACAGCCAGATGTTATGTGGCCATCTCTTCCCAGCTCTGGTGCTCTGGGCTAGACAGCCAGCTTGGGGTTTACACCCCATGCTTGTCAGGGGGAATGCCCCCTGCAGCTGAGATATCCCTCTGGAACCCCAGCCTCCGCCTGGGAGTAGGGCCAGGCCTCTTTGAATCTCCACCCTTCCTACTGATCTCGATGTGACTTCTGTAAATTCTTGGTTATAACGCTTCAGCTAGTCTTCATTTGCTCGTTCAATATGATTGCTCAATAATTCAGTTGTAATTTGAGCTTGGTCCTGAGAGGAAGTATGTGTAGCTTCCAGTGTTGGATTCCAATAATAGTCTTAATTCCAATCATTAGAAGGTAAAGAAATCACTTAATTTAAAATTAATGTATTTGACCCATTGTGTTAACTTTGGATATGGAGTATTTTAAATCTCTTGTGGAATAAGTAGGTAGTTTAAGTAAACAGAACATTAAACAATACAGTAAATAATGTAATAGCTAAAATTTTCACCAAAAGGCAAAAATGCTTTTCATATTGAGGTTTCAATGCTTACTAAAATTCAAGACATATGTTAAAAATATAATTTAGAAAAAGTATGTCTATGAATATATGGTAAAACCAGCTTATTTTAATTTTAGAAGTCTTATTATAGGATATTTTTGTTTTGCTTATTTACTGTTTCAACTACCTTTCTTATTTTAAAATGAATATTAAACAAAGGTATAAAAATTTTATATATGAATGTCATGAATTTATCTAATTATCTATTTTACCTACTATTGATTGACTTTTACCCATCTTTAAAATCATTATAAAAGTTATATGTATTAAGAATGGTTATAGCAATGCCAGATATGCATCTTGTTTTGTTCATGTTAATATTTTCAATTCCATTTATTTTGGAGGAATACACCATCTTTTTGAAAAATCTAATTAGGAAGTGATTATTTTTATGTGTTTATGCATATCAGAAAATATTATCTGTTCTATAATTGTGAATTCATTTCTCTAGTGAGCTTGACTTTTGAACTTCTATTCTGAGTAATTATGACATACTCTTTGGAAGTTTGTATTTACACGTCTATTTTTGTGTGGATAACTTTAACTTATATTTACAGATGCTATTTTATACGTATACAAATCACTTTATTCTGCAAAGGATTTAAGAGGAAGGATGATGTTCTTATGAATACTCGTTTAAATCTGTTGAAGGTTAAACTTTACAGAAATGTTTTCATTCAACCATATTCATATATTATGTCAGCACTAAAACATTAGCAATATGGAAAGACTTGCTATTTGAGTTGTAGTACTCTGGTGGCATTTTATTTATATAAAAATAAAAAAATAGAAAGAAGATCATGTTCTCAGATCTGGAAATGACCTGAGGGTAGAAGGCGTTCAGTTTTAGAGGCTTTCCAGGCAAGAATTTTCAGATTATAGAGCTTCAGTATTTTAAATTGCATTAATGCCCTTTTGTCTTACTATTATTTTTGTCCACTGTGTTTTTTGAGAATTTTGCATCTTTTGATGCATAATAAAACCCACTAGAAAAAGACTTTTGTTGAGGAACTGTATTTGTAGCGGTTAAGGGGTTTGAATTCACAGACATGGGTGCAAACCGTGGCTCTAGCAGTAGCAGCTATGTGGTGTGGGGTTCAGGACATGATCTCACAAACAGTTTTGCTTTTCCTCCTTAATAATGGGAATAACGGGTGTTTTGAGCACTAGACATATATTTTTGGCTCATCTCCACCTTATCTTAAGTGCCACATAAAAGAGCTGCTGCTGTCATTCTCAGCATTAATACTATTTATTCACAAATGATAGTCTTTTAGAATGTTCATGGGGTCATTACTGATGCTCTTCATTCTGTCATTTTTCTGGTGATCAGCAGTGTCTACACATCTAAAAGAGTGCTGTTTGGACACATGCTCAGATTACAGGAATGTAATGGGAGGAGGATTACTAACGTAACAATATTCATAAGATATAAGTTGTATTATCAAAGAGTAAAGGGTTGCAGTCTTTGAATTAAGAAAATCACCAAGATACTAGGGTTTATTAGGAATTTTCTTCATTGTGCATAAAACAATGGAATATTCTTTCTTTAAAATTTTATTTTGTTGTTGTTCAATTACAGTTGTCCCCGTTTTTTCCCCAATGCTCTTCCCTGCCCTGTCCACTCCCCGCTCCCATCCAAATTTGTGCTGAGTACATTAGAAATATTCCAAAACCTTGCATTGTAGCAACAAAGAACTTCTGCTCTAGACTGACAACTAGACCGTGATTTATTACAGGATCTGCTTTTAACATTATTTTGTCTGGAATGAATAGAGTGGTTGAAGAAAGTCCATCCATCTTTTTGTTTATTTGACATGTATGCCACATTAAATGTACCTTAAAGAAACAATATATAAATAAGAAATTCTACTTAATAATGATGATTATTCATCAGGAAGATAAATCTCTTGACAGTAATACAAAAGGAATTCTATCAAGCAATGTCTGTTAAATTTAAATAAAGCATTTTAAACCTAAATTGATTTTCAAAGCAAATATTTTAGCTTCATTTCTTTCCAAAAGTTAGCACTACAGAATGTGCTGAAGTTGATCTCTTCAGCAAAATTATCACTATCTCCCAAGCATTCCTCTTCTAGCTTAATCACTGATGTTTGATATCAGAAATTAGTAGAAATAGAATGTGCCCTCCTTACTGTTAATGTTTATCAAAAAGGTAAAAAAAAATTGAGCAGCAAGTAAAGATTTTGACAAATACATTTTATTGTGCTTTCATGCTGTTGGAAGGAGTTGTTTTTTAAGTGATTTAGGGAAGGAGGAAGGGAATAGAGTAATTGAGGCAGGAAGAATACCTTGGCTGAATTACACATCTTTTTCTGACAATGTTAGGACCCGAATAAAAAATGTCTGGCCTCAGACTTAGAGCCATATAATTTGTAAATGAGATACCATACATTATTAACAAATGGTCCCTGTCTGTATTTCTTATTTGAACTTCTTACTTATTAGGTTTAATTTCAGATTTATTTATTTATTTACTTATGGGAAATTTGCAGGATTGTTTTTTGTCATAATTGTTAAAAATCGATTTTTGGAAGCGTAGGAGAATACTACTACCTTCTACTCTTCACAGTATACTTTTTAGTATTAAACTGTTACCAATATGCTACTTGCTAGTCAGTTGATGTTTTCAATATACAACCAAGATACAACCCTTCTCTATAGTGTTTAGCTTTATGATTGTCTCTAAATACCTGAATGTATTAGACCTGAATACTTAACATTCAGTAAACTTGTAGATGCTACATAAACTACAGTATTTCCAGAATTCTAATTCAGAATTCTTATTGCTCATGAATAAAGATCAAAATTGATCCAGTTTGTTGTTGTTGGATCATAAAGACTTCCTGATATGTTAATCCTAGCAGTTGCTGGCTTTTTAGCTATATTACAAGTAGTACTGGAACACTCTTTCCAGACTTTACAAATTAGGTAGATGGTGTGTGTCTTAACATTCCAAACAGGCTGTGTATCTAATTTTACATTAGAAGAGCATGACACTAAGGGTGTAAACTGGTGACAGTCAGGAGCTGAGTGCCCACAGAAGGGACAGGATTCCCTAGGTAGTCTCTGCTGTAAAAGGGATAGAGGGGGAGGGAATAAAGAGCTTCACGATTAGGATGCTATTTAAAAAAAAAACAAAAAAAAAACCAGACAACTTTTATGCTGTTGATTCTACAAAGGAAAACCTATTATATTTGCAAAAGTTTGCTACTTTTAATCTGGCCTTTTCCCATTAAAGATGATAGCATGAACGCGATTATATTGTTGAGAGGTAACTTTTATAAATTATATTACCATTCTCAGCATATGTAAAAACTGAAACTCAGATTTTAACTGGCTCAAGTATTCAAAAATAACTTCTGAACTAAGATTATAGCTAGGTTTCTTTATTTTTATCCTACTATTGTTTTAAATTAGATTTTGCTGTGTCTACCAGCACTAAGTCCATTAGAATGCATACTTAATATTTTTGGAGTGGAAAATGAAGTGAAGAGTTCTCTTTCTATGTCTAGTTCATATTCTTATTTTACTTCTGTGAATACTGAGAACCAGTAACTTGCCCAAGGCTATATAACTAGTTAAGGATGTGTTTTTGCATTACCAGATCAACTACACATGTTAGTGGCCATTAATCTAGCTAGTATTCAGGTCATTTTTTTTTTTTTAAAGAACGAGGTCTGTCTAGAAGGTATCCAGCCACGTAATATGAAAAATAGAGACATTTCTTGAAGAAGATACGTGATACAAGAAACATTATACATAGGACAATGATGCCTCAGTCCCCTTAAAAGTAGATACCTTGGGACTTCACACAGTTCTCCCAATCACTGTCAGCTGCTCTGTCATTTTCTTGACTTTCATTGATGGTCTGAAATCTCTTCCCTTTCAAAGGTGATCTTAGTTTTGGGAAAAACAGAAGGCACAGGGTGCCAAATCTGGGCTGTAGGGGGCTGAGTCGCCTGGGTGATTTCTTGTTTCACCGAAAAACTCTGCATGAAATGCAATGCACAAGTAGGCTCCTTGTCATGATAAAGCTGCCAGTCACCAGTTGCCCATAGTTGCAGGTTTTGGAATCATTCCAGTAGTTTCTGTGGAGGAAAATTTAAGCTTAACGTAAAATTTGGTGCAGATTAGTTGCTCTGTTTGCTCAGTCATTTTGAATGTGACAGCCACACAGTACACATGCTCACTCAATGGCGTCTGTCGCCCCCACTGACTAGCACAGTGAAGTCATCATTGTTCACGCATGTGGGTTCCAGTTCACTCTCCTTGGCTGCCAGGTTACATCAATGTCACACAAACCATTCTTGTTATATTAAGGCTGGACTTTTTCTGGACAGACCTCTTATGCTCTTTCAAAACACTCAGCTTTTGTGATCTGTGTTCCTTTTAAAAGGCATTAAATAATGGATTAAAATGTTGATAATCAGTTTTTAAAATGCCAGGAGCTGTTTTTAGTTTTTTCATTAAAGTACAGTTGGCATACAATATTATATTAGTTTGAAGTGTACAACATAGTAATTCAACATTAGTTTGTGTGTTGAATAGATCGATGTAGTATTTGACTGTATTACATGGGTAGTCATATGAAAGTCAGGCTGTCTAGAAAGGTAGCTGTATGTTCCAGGAATGTGCAGATTTTTGTATTAATAAGTTGTAGTGTGTGTTAATATTTATGATGGCATAGAATTACTCCCATACTTGTATATTAACTTTTTTTCTGATAGTGGTATTAATATTTAGTGATGGTAGAGCTTGTAAAAATATTACACATATATATACTTATACATTATTTTTAATCCTTACCCAAGGATATATTTATTGATTTGAGAGAAAGAGAGGGAGGGAGGGAAAAATAGAGAAGGAGACATTGATGTGAAAGAAAGATTGATCAGTAACCTCCCAGACATGCCCCGACCAGAGATCAAACCTGCAGTCTAGGTATGTGCCCTGACCAGGCATCAAACCTGAAACCTTTTGGTGTATGGGACAACAGACACTCCAACCAACTGAGCCACTGAGCCAGGGCTCACACATGCATATTTTAAAGTGGGAAATTGTTGGAAGAGAAGCAAGAAAATAAGGCTGTACCAGTTAGGTAAGCCAAAAATTTCCAGCTCTAAATTAAATCCTGGTATGCAAAGAGTGGTTTTTTTTTTTCCGCCTCTCGTACATATATCTGTTCTGGATGATTCCTTAGTTATAGGGAGCACTATCAGCTTACATATTTGTCCTGTGTTCACACTCAGTACACCTTACCCCAATAACTACATAAAAACACAAGCTAACTTTCTATTTATTGCTTAGACTTTAGCTTAACTACTTTTCCTTTCTGCTTGCGTTCCTTGGCCTTTTCAGCTAAGGATGGGTTCATTCTGATCTTCAAGCCTCTGTTCTTCCTTTCATTCTGTATACCTGTTTGAATTTATTTGATCAACTCTTTAGCTTTAGGGCTAACAGTTCACAAAGTGATGCTCTTGGACCAGTTGACTCCTTTTAAGTTCCAACCTCCCCCTGCCCAGGAATTTCAGCAGTTTATCACCTTCAAAGGGATAAAATAATTGTTCTTCATGAGCAAAAATGTCTTACTGTTGTTATATATAAAACACAGATATACATACAGCACACAAACACATGTACAGTGTACTTGTGGTTTAAAAATTCTATGAGTGCAAACAATGAGGGGGAAAAATTCCTTGAAAAGCACCTTAGCTGGCAGTAATGAAAAAAGGTTGCGAAACACTGTTATATACCTATATAAGTCTGTCTTTTTTGGACATTTCCACTTGGATGTTACTTAAAAACTTCAAACTCAATTTGTCCATAGCTGAAATGATGTTTTCGTTGCCCACCCCACCCAAACTGTTCTCATCCTTTCTGGCTTGTCTCAATTAATGGCACCACCTGAGTTTCCTGTCCACTCTGTCCCATTATCTCTATTCCCAGAGCATTACCTCAGCTCGGGCTGTCATCTTTCCCTGCCTGGATTACTGCTACATCTCTTTAAATTACTCTTTCTGCTTCCGTTATTACCCTTGCTCTAATCTTTTATCCACACGACCCTAGAGGGAGCTTTCTAAAATGTATATCTGGTCATCCCTCATGTGCTTAAAAACCAAATTTTTAGGGGTCGGTATCCTGTTTCCATTGCATGGCTACCTTTCCTTTTATTTTCTTTATTTTTCTCTCCTTCCAGATTTAAATCTTTTTACCTTCTTGCCCTCCCCATCACTCAGTTGTATTTTGGAGCCCTGCAGACCCCTCGGCTGTGCCATTTCCTTCCTCATCTGTGGCCCTTGGCGAAAGCTGCTCCTTCTGCCCGTGATATTGAGCTTTGGATTTTTTTCTTTTCTTCCCCGATCCCATACATCTTCCTCTCTACCAGTGTTCAGTTTAGACGTCATGTCTTCCTAAATGCACTTTGTGATTATTTTTACTATACTGTTTGTCACACTGGGGTAGATACATATTTTCTATTCCTTTGTTTTTTTTCATTAAATAGCTCCTGAGGAAAGACTGTGTCGTCTGCTCTATGTGTAGCTCTGCAGTAAACAGTGGGCATTCTCTCTGAATGTTCCAAATGAAAGACATGGTCGAATGTGGGGGTGTTTTAAAAACACTGTCGTATTGACTTTGAAGTTATTCTGTTTTCTTAGGTACTTACCATACATTTTTTTTCCATAAAACGTTGCATACCAGATTGGATTAGTTATTCCTCCTATTCAATTGATGTTAATGACTTTGACCAAACAACAATATGTAAAGAGTAGCTTTTCAAGTATTTAAATATTTGATTTTCAAAAATAGGATTGTCTAATTTTACTCTCTTATTCTCATCTAGAAAATATGACATTAACATTATTTAACTAGGCAGACAGATTATCAAAATATGTTTGTGTTTTTTCCTACTTCTTGTTCTATTTAGCTAAAGGACACAAAATCAGCAGATCAGAAAACAACACTACTTCATTTTCTGGTGGAAATATGTGAAGAAAAGTACCCTGATATTCTGAATTTTGTGGATGATTTGGAACATTTGGACAAAGCAAGCAAAGGTTTGTGCTTTTATAGAAAACATTCCACTATTCTGGGTCTTCAGTTCTTAAAGACAGAAAATAATGCCTTTTATTTGAGCGTGTTTGCTATTTTGTCACAGTGTTTTCATACTGAATATGTCATTTTAAAAATAGAATTTGTAGAACATTTGTTTTATGAATTGTCATTATCAGAGCTGTCAGTTTAATATGATTAAATAATGAGGCCCTGTATTTAAAAATCTGATGCTTTGCAGTTTAAACCTTGTGAGTACCTGCCAGCCCCACGTCTGCTGCTGAGCCTGCTCCACTGGTGGCCAGTCATGCTCCCTTGATCCAATGTCATTCACAAGCGCTCGGGGACTATTGCGGATCTGAGCCAAGCGCTAGTAATCAGCGTCCCGTTGGCTCAAGTCCTAGATCTGTCTCCACCCACCTTGCGAGTGGGGCCTGCTTTCTCTGTCTAAGTAGACACCCAACTTCCAGAGATTCCGCTCACTCCTTTTCTCACCTGCTTCCAGCCCCGATTGTGGGTTTAATCAGGTTATAAAGGGTAATATAAAAGAGTTAGGACTTATTATTAATACTTGGTTATAATATGATCAAATTTAGTTTTTTGACCTCCTGAAAAATCTAGTTTTTATTTGTATATCACATTGACCCTACGGGGGAGAGACTTTAATTGGCTCACAACAACCAATTTATGAATACACATTTGTACGAAGGCACACAAATGTATGCATATGTGTTTTAGAGGATAACTCACTTGAAATGGTAGACTGTACTGTTTTTGTGTTGAGCAGTGGTCATTAGTAATGCCAAAGATTTGTAATTTGTTTATTTCCTTCTTAAGTTTGTAATTTGTTAACTTAAAGAAGGATTCTTTTTTTTTTCCATATTATAGTAAATACTCCTTAAATCAAAAAATTCACTTTTATCATTCCCTACCCCATTTAAATTGTTTTTCCTTCTATAAAATGGGGATTGTAGCAATTTATGGCATAAGGTTATGTGATTAGATAAAATGAGATACTCTTTGACACTTTTTCATGAGATATGTTTTTTTGAAGTATATATCTCATACAACCTTGGGGTGGGAGCAGGTGCTGGAAATATTGATCTGGAGTTTTAAGACCAAAACCGAACTTTTAACCTTACTTTTCACTCCTCCCTCCCAATGCTCTAATGATAATTGAATCACTAACTTTGTCTTTGTGCTACCTTAAAATGTGCTTGGTATAAGAACATTGTGTGTGTGTGTGTGTGTGTGTGTGTGTGTGTGTGTGTGTGTATGAAATTTAAGAATGAAAATAATTGAAATTATTTCATATATTAAACCTGAGATAAGGCCAAAGGGCATAGAGAAAAAAATTAAAAATAATTCAGTGATACTCAAAATAGTTTCCAAGTGTTCGGTTCTTTAACTTGGAGAAGGTGACTTTCCTCTGTGAGAATTCTGGAATTTTAGAATAAAATTTGACTTAACAGAATGAAAAAGAATTGAAAATGGGTGTTCTTGATGAACATTATACCTGATAAGTAACAGTATAGCTGATGAAAAAGTGGTACAAAGTGCCTTGAAATATAGAGGAAGTTTTTTTTTTTTCTCCTAATGAAAAGGTATTTGAGTAAAATAGCTTATGTAAACATTAGGTATTGAGGAGGAGTTAAAACAATGCAAACATTTTTGCTAATAGCGGTTTGTGTTTCTCATCACTTCACCATCTTTCCCCGTAGTTCTAAAACTGAACAGTAATCCTGAACATACTTCTTTTGCAGATGCAGTTTTTATCGTAGAATTTATTTTCTGGCAGTTTCTGCTTGTAAATTAAGTTTTTGAAGTATCATTTATCTACCATGAGTCATTTGATTGTACTTAAAATTCTGTACAAACATTACAATATTTTGCTTTTGAAAACTATTTAACTTTCATAAGGTCTTGCAGAGTTGTAACTTGATAATTAGACTCTTCTGTTTGTTTTCATTTTTTGGTGTTTCTGTGGGGCAGTCTGGGGCCTTGGGGGTTTCAGATTCCATCTGTTATAGCAGAGGAACGCATATGTGGTTGGGTCAGCAGATACTGCTAATGTGTTTCACAGGGAGCAGCAAACTTCATATTTGAAATAGAATAGCCATTACTGAGATAATTTTTTGTAGTGCAGGAGATTGTTGAGCATAATTTCTTTCTATGCTTGTATTACCCTATTAATGCATGAGATTTTGGAGGAATAAATGAGATGTTTTGGATGAAATAAGTTGGTTTGCTTTGGAGGATTTCAGTGCTCTTATATATCATTATTTAAAAGTTTCCAGATCTGAAACCTCCTTAGTGAGCTATCTCATGAATTAAAAAGTACCTTTGTTTTTTGAGACATAACAAATCTTGGCCATTAGGTACTCTTGGATCAGCAGGGGGAACTTTCATTGCAACTAATGAGCTTACCCGGATGACAATTTTCAAAAATCTACTTCATTAGGGCTGCTTCTTTTCTGAGAGATAATAGCTTACAGCTTATCTGTTGTATTGCAGTGAAAATATTTCGGGTCATTATTGTATTTCTGTATACGATTGTGATAGTTCTTTCCTTTCTGAACTTCTAAGGGTTGAATACATTTTCCCTTGTCTAAACAAGTGAAATTAATGAACTCTAATCTATGAAAGTTTTATTGATTATTTCACATAACCTGTTTCATTATTAAACTGGAATGATATTTTTTAATGAGGAGAAAATATGACAAAACTGTGGAGTTCTTGATGTATATTAAAATAAAACAAAGGTAAGTTTACAATGTCACCTTGTTCAGCTCTTTTATAGGGTTATCATAGCTCTAGCATATATTTTCATTATTACCTTGACAATCAACTCTGAATTCTAGAAATGCCACGCTAGTTCACTCTGTAAGTTACTCACTCATTCATTAAACAAGCTTATGTTGTATGATTAGTCTGTGCCAGAAACTGTGCTCTTGTCTCGCCGCTGATCCAAGGCATAGTTTCTGTCTTAGTGCAACTAGAGCTCTGTCACTCTTTTGGCTTCTGCCCCAGTTGGCTCCTCCCTCTTACTCTCAGGGTCCTTTACTTCCTTCTCCTCTTCCAAGCAACCTCTAAGTATTGCTGCTGTTACCGGCCTACTACTGAGCCCTTCCCTTTTTTTCTCCCTCTAGCTTCTCCTCAGGTGATCTCTTCAGTTCCCAAAGGCTGAAATACCATCATGACATTAATACCTCACAAATTTATATCTGGGAGTTTTCTCCTAAGCTCCACAGTTGTAGATCTAACAGCTTACTTGCCATCTCCAGCTACATCTCAATCTGTAGATCACAATATGCCATAAAACATGGCTGTTGGTTCCTGTTCCCTTAACCTCTCCTCCCCAAAATTTAATTACTTGAGAAAATCCTTCTTAGCCCCATTCCTTCTATTCCTTATTCTCATTTGCCCTTTCTTTTTACAGCCTTTCGCCACCTCAGCTGAGAGCTCTGTGTAGATTCTAAGTTAGATCTATGGGAAGTGGCAGCTGTGGCCTAAAGTGTTTAGTTTTCTCCTTCATCGAATAACAAGCAAATGTCACCTTCTCTTTGGTGCGTTTTCATGGTCTGTAATGGGAACCTCACGACAGTCTGTGTATTCCACTTTGTCCTTAAGGATAAATCTAAAATCTATAGGTTTACAGAAAACCTTAGACCACTATTTAAAACTCCTACTATATCTTAGAGACCATTCCTGGAACTGCTGGGAATGTAATCAACTTCTAGAGAAAGGGGAATATTCAGTGTATTCTCAGAGCGGATTTAATGATTGCCTATTTTTATTTTTGTCACTTTTTTGTTTCCATATTTTTAGCTCTTAGGAGCATTCTTCGATATATTTGACTTTTTTCTCTCCATTTTAAAGACCTCTCTGCTTTTAAGACTTTATTTGTTTGCTTTTAGCTAGTAATTTCTTGGTCTAACCCAAATATTTGTCTACTCAAATACATCTCCTAGTTTTCAATTCCTCCTGACTTTCCAACATTTTATGATAAACGCCTTACTAAATACCAAATGTTTGTCTTTTATTCACCTACTGTGAACACTTAGAACACTTAATTTCCAGGTGGCTGCCACCTGGAAACTGCATAGTGTTTGAAAATTTCGAATTCATCTGCTATAACAAGCAAAAAGCATTTTCAGAGGCTTCCATGAACCTCCTTGTACTGTAGACTTCCAAAAATGGCAATTAAAATTTATTAGTGATTTAATATACATTAAATATATATTTTAAATATTCATTATTAATTCAATTGTACTTTTTACTTTAAATGTATGTTGTCAATTCACTACTAAAATATGTATTGTGTAGCAAGTTAACTACATAAGTAATATTGCGTTAGTTGAAACCATTCTGTCATGAACACTATAGGTTGGGGCCTCATAATTTTGTGAACTAAATAATTCATTTCATGTTTTAAATCAATTGTAGGATATTAAAGTGTTTGAAAATATGCATTATTGTACATTTCTCCCAATATAGTGAAGTAATTTGATAGTACACATTGTTGCTAGGAGGGCATTTATATTAAAATAATGTTGTTAGAGAAGACAAACATGTAGGTTACTGCTTTCATTGAATTGTCAGTGAAGCACAAAAATTATCTATATGCACTTTTGGGCTGAATTCTGTCCCAATGCAATGAAGCCTTAACTCCATGCCTGAGAATATGACTGTATATGGGATAGGGCTTTTAGAGGTGATTAAGTCAAAATGAGGCCTTTAGTATGTGCCCTAATTCAACCTGACTAGTCATCTTACAAGAAGAGGAAATTTGAACTCACAGAGAGACACCCAAGATGTGCATGCGCACAAGACAGACCATGTGAGAACACAGCAAGGAGGTAGCCACCTGCAAACCCAGGAGAGAGACTTCAGAACAAACCAAACCTACTTACACCTTTTCTTGGACTTCCGAACTTTGAGAAAATAGATTTTTGTTGTTTAAGCCATCTAGCCTGTGGTATTTTGTGATGGTAGCCCTAGCAAA